CCTTCTCACTGCCTCCTCAACCTATTCAGCCAGCTGGTATACAATGGGCAATTGTACCAAGGAGGTTTAACAAAGTCCATTAAAATGAGGATTCTTTCTCAATAAATCTCAACGCACGTCAGCATGATCAAATAAAACATCAATAAGACAGGTCTATGTTATATTATTAATGTACCCAAAGTCATTCCTAATAAATAAATCTTACTTGTCTCAATCATCTAATACCCCATAGACTGCCTATTTTAAAAAGAAAATTGATATAATATGATATTGATCATAAGCCACTTTAAAATGCATGCTTAGGATGTCTTCCAATATTTTTGCACTTCCACTTGCTCCTTAAGCAATTTAAGTAATTTTTTTCTTTATGAAAATGACATTATTTCAGTACTCAAATGTGGGGCAAACAGTTTTCAAGGACCTTATTTCTAGTGGGGAAGGCAGGAATAGGCCATCTAAATTGATGCTTTCCTTTGGTACATTATGTTCCCAGAGTTGTAACAGTTGTACAAGTGAGGAAAAGACAATAACGTAAACTTCCATATATTAATGCAAAGTTAGTCCAGAAACAACTCATATTTGCAGGGGAATTTTCTTAATTACTAAGAATCTGGTGTTTGTTTAAGTCAGAATTAACTGGCTTATGTAAAGACTCTACTTTTCAAAGTTTCAGCTGTTAATCAAAAAAAGGAAAAGTGAGTTATATCCCAGGAACTGTAGTCAGTATAAGAAATAAACTTGACAAGCCTAAGGTTATTACATATAGAGGTAAAAGAGTGGGGAAAACATGATTTTAGGAACTATTAAGTAACCAGTATTTTATTTAGTGTACATAAGTGCATATTATATTATAATAAGTTTTCTTAAAATATAAGAGGAGGTTAATGACACATACTCAGGCAAGTAATATGTATGTCCAATTGACCTTTACTATGAAGAGCTTCTTTCTGAATACAGCATATAATTTACCAGAATGTTCCACAGCAGGAAAAAAAAAAACCACTAATGCCCTAAAGCCCCGGTATTTGTGTGGTTGGATGTATTTTTCTGTGAGATAAACTCTAAAACAGAAGGTAAAGTTCTCAACAAAATCAGGATCTATGCATGCCTATATTCTGGTTATATTTTGACCTTCTCTCTTTTTTTTGCCCTTTCTAGACCTGTCCCTTGTTAAACAAGACAGTCTCCATCTTTGCAGTGTCTCCTCAGGCATGAAGAGGGATACAGCTTCAGCAAGGGCTAGTAATAGAACTGGATCCACTCTGTAGCCAAGAGAGGTCTTAGTTACAGGTGGCAAGCTTATGCACTCCTCATTCTAAAGAAATTCATTTCTCTAAGGTGTCCCTTCCTCTTACCTCATATTATTCTTCTGTCTGTGATAGAGGGGAAAAAGAAAAAGAAAAAGGATGACCCATATCTTAACACTGAATCACATTTGTCTAAGCAGTCTAACTCCAAGTTATGCTTTGGCCAAAAACATGTTTATTTTCTAACTATCACATAAAGACCCATTGGGGACAAATTAGTAGGTGTTGTAGAATAAAACTACTTAATTTTTTTACTCAGTTTATCATTGACTTGATTCTCACCATTGGCTTATCACTCTATCACTCTATAAATTAACAAACCAGAAGATGGATTGTGCTTCTGGGAAAATGTAAAAAATGGTGACATATATATACAAAAAAATAAAACCCAGAGATGATATGTCCAAGGAGCCCTCTTGTATAAAAGAAAGCCTACTGAAAGAAAGGGGATGGTAATACAAAAGATAAATAAATTATTAGTATTAAGTGACCACACATGATTTTAGTACTGACAAAACTAATAAGAAGCTGTAGAGTGCCTATACTATTTGCCTAGTCATAACTACTAGCAGGCAGACCAGAATCTCCCTAGACACAAAGTCAGTTGCTCACTATGTCCCCCATCAACCTTCCTCCTCTGCACACAGAAAAGAAAGACCTGTTAAGTATTTAATCTGTGTCCAGGAAATAAAGCTTTCATTTTACAACCTCACCAAGTCCTAATAAAATAATAGGGTGGTGGGAGAAACATAAACCTGAACCCTGAAGCAATGTTTTCAGACAAGACTAAGACAAGGAAGGCATGAGCAATTTGTTTGAGCAGGAACTGACAATATCAACAAAGTGTGATGTGTCTGTGGAACAGTGTTTGATAAATAAATGTGAGGCAGCCATAAACATGAGAAGACAATCCAGTGGTGCTTTGTGCCCCCTCCCCCTTTTATGTTTTTTTTTCTTTCAATCCTCTCTCTCTCTCTCTTTTGGTGTATTAATATGGCCTGATCTAAGATGCTCACAAGCACACAGAGATCATTGGGCTGGTGCTCTTTCCCTGGTTGCTGTATCATAACACTTATTTATTTATTTGGACCTGATGCTAGTGCTGTTGCTGGCTGCAGTGGTGCATTTTCTCTGGCATACCTACACGCCTTCCTCCACCACCCCGAGTCTGCTGGGAAGCAACACTGTCTTAATCATTGGTTTACGCACTTAATAAAAGAGACCCATGCCCTTAATAAAAGAGAATGCAGCTGATGGAATCTTCCGGGTAGAGAAAGTAAATCCTCCTCCAGGCTGAGAGAGAGAGAGAAAGAGAGAAAGAGAGAAAGAGAGAGAGAGAGAGAGAGAGGGAGAGAGAGGCACCAGTAGACAGTTATTTTGCAGTGCACTGAATAGACAATTCACAGGGAAATGTTGAAGGCAGAGAGGAGGCGACCCCCAAGTGCAGTCCATTGCCCACATGTTCTGTAATAAATAATCTCGCACCGGCCCAGCAGTGTGTCCAATGACGTGCTGGGGCCAGCACACACAGATTGGCAGGGAAAACACACCCAGCGGTGTTGAATTTTCATCACAATCACCAAATTAACTGATTTCCCCACATAACACTCCCCTACCCGGCGTGGCGGAGCGGGAGCGCGGGCGCGCGCACCGGCACACACGCGCGCACACACACACACACACACACACACACACACACAGGCTGAGAAATGCAAGTTACTGAGAGGTGAAGTGAGGTCTCTGGGAGGATGTTTCATCATGGATTAGAAACCCAAGTAATGTGTCAGGCAACTACCCGGGTTACTTGTGCGAGGGTGGGGGTGTGAGTGGTGGGAAATGGGACGAGGCAGCGTAAGCAGAAAGAATGGGCTATCTGCCTTCTCTGGGATTCTGGCACATGACATTATCTGAAATTTACATATAACATAAAATACACAAAATTACCACTAAATAGTCTAAAGGATATCTCTGCAAGGCCAGCTAATTAATTCAGGGAAATTCTGTCCAGTACCACTTCTTTCGTATTCATAAATATGCATAAATGAAATACGGTCCCGGTCTATATCCCGGAGGAGGATAGGAGAGAGGATGCATCCCAAGAACTTGCTGAAAGATGGTTCATTGACCTCATTTAAATCCTCCAAAGGCCGATTGGGTTCTGCATGCCTGTGTGTTTTACTTTCAGATTCCTTTCACTCAGGTACAAATAAATTCGATCAACTTCCTTCCCGCAAATACACAAATGATGACAGAGGGGTTAGAGGTGGGCAAAGATTTAACAAGAAATCAAGTCACCTAGCTTTAAAAAATCCTATCGACCATCATTTCCCATCCATTCTCCCTGAATCTCACACTCAATCCACATCCCCATACTACTCTCTTCAAAGCAACAATCTTCCGCCTTGCAGCTCCTGCCCAGCCAGCCCTAGAATGCCATCTCTGCCTTCACCGCCACCCCAAAGTGTGCTCTCCCCTTGCACTCGGACTCCAAACATTGCCATTTATTCAATAATTAGCATCGTCCTCCCATTCCAACACAGACCCTTTTTCCCTCCTCCAAAAAAGGGTCTGGGGAAAAGTGCACCCCAGTTCCCTAGCCACTCCGTATCTAAACCCAGTGATTTGCATAATCACAGTGTTTTGTGCGGTTTCCCTCCACTGCGGTCACAGGGGTTCTTACAATTCACGTGAACGGGTAATATTAATTACGGACAGAAGCGGCAGAAAGCGGATGGAGAGGTAGGAAACCTAAGCGAAAATCCCTAGCAGAAAGTAACTGCTAGGGTGCATATATTTCTCTGCTGAAAAAAGAAAAAATAAAAAAACAAGAAGAAACAAACAAACAAAAAACCCACATGGACTGAATAATAAAAAGTCTATTTGTTGATAAAGTGAGCTTTGGGGTTGTTAATTTTCCCCTTCCTCTCGCCCTGTTTTTTTTTCTTTTCTTTCTTTTTTTAATTTCCTGGTTAATTTATTCATTTTCTTTCAAAGAGAAAGAAAATTTCCTGTATTTCTTTTCCTGTATTTCTCTCTTTTCTTTTGTTCTTATTTATTTATTTTAATCCCACACACAGTCTCCTCTCTCTCCCTAGGTGAATGACAAGTCTCACAACACATTCCCCCTGGGGATGTTATTGCAATGCACACGGTGCTGCCGCTGCTGCTGTTCTCGCCGTCTCGGTAGCTCGCTCCCAGACTCTCACTCACTTTTTAAAGACACAGGATATGATGATGGTGGAAGAAGGGGAAAGAAAAAGGCGACTCGAAAAGGGGAGGCTAAAAAGACGACAAGAGACGGAGGGTCGGTCAGCAGAGTGATGTGGGAAGCGGCTGGTGGGGGGAGGGGGGAACATTCAGGGAAGGTACAAATTGCTAGCCAAAAGGCGCGAGGGTGGGGGCGGCGGGGATGGAGTAAGACGTGTAGGAAGCTCAGGTGAATGAAGAGGCGAAAGGTGCCGAGTAAGGGGGCTGACTTCTGGGAGTGATGAGCTGAGCCAGTGCTAGAGAGATTCGAGGAGCTGGAGCAAACTGCCACTGCCCCTTGCTGCACCGGGGAGTAGGGAGAGGAGTCTGGAAACGTCAGGGGACTGGGGGACTGGAAGGAGGAGAGTGGAAACATGAGGTGGAGTGGGGATGGATGATGAGGAATGGGCGTGAAGTTGATGCTCCCCGCGGCGGGGAGGGTATTACCTTGTAGCAGGAGCCCGCAGACACTGTAGAAGCGGAGAACGGCGCTGCGCTTCCAAATCATGGTCCCTTCTCCAAATGGTTGGGGGGAGGAACCAGGAGGCACGGATCTGCTGGTGAGCAGGGCACCAGAGTGTAGGGCTCCGCCGGTGTCCTCCTCGCGGCGCCCGCCGGACCCACGGTCCCCGCTGCTGCGGTGTTTGAACTCGCGGACACGAACGGGGATCGGCGGCAGCAGAAGCGGCAGCGGCGAAGCACCCGCAGAATGGGTTTTTGGTGGGCGAAATAGTTTCTTCTCCTCCCGGTGGTGCAGCCGCGACAGCCCGTCTGCCAGGCACCAGTCGGGCTAGCCTTCCCCTCGGCGCACACAGCAAGTCCCAACACCCGATGAGGCTGCCGGAGCAGGTGGTGCAGGGATGCTGGGGTGTCGGGAAAGGTGCAGACGAGGGCTCCAAGGAGTGGGTAGGTCACGGAAGGGAGGGGCAGAGGAAAAGGTGGAACATGCAAGCAGCAGCCGCCGCACGCGCTCGGGGTGTCTTGGGGTTCTGGGCAGGGAGGTGGCAGCAGTGGAAGCAGCTCTAGTGGCGGTGGTGGTGGTGGTGGTGGCAGTGGTGGCGGCGGCAGTGGCTCCCGGATGCTCCGGCTGCAGCGGCGGCGGCAGCGGCAGCGGCGGCGGAGGCGGCAGCGGCAGCAGCAGCGGCGGCGACGGCGGCGGCGGCGGCAGCTCTACAGAGCACCAGACACAAGGGCAAGCTCAGCGCGGCGGTGGCCCCGCCCCCACCCTGGCCAGACAGACACCGCCCCCTGACCAATGGAAATGCATCCGCCCACCAGGTCTGGCCAATGAGAGAAGGGGTTGGGTGGAGACAAGCGCCGGGAAAAACAAACAGGTTTCTCAAGGACCCTTCGGGCAGTAAGAACTGAAGCCCCCATTCACACACCCACGGCGGGTCTCACCTCTCTGGAGACGTCTCACCCTAAGTAGCAAAGGAGACAGCCGTCGTCTTTAATCAGTGTCATGCACTTGGGAAGAGTTCAGTTAATCGTCACCACGAGGGGGCGGGGTTAGTCTTATCCCCAGCAGGTTCTGAAATCCGTGGTGCCTGGGATCGGTTCTGGGTGCGAAGTTCTTTTGTGCATTTGTACTCCTAAAGCAGATGGTGGCTGCACCTGCCCACTCACCAGCTGCATTACCATTCTCTGACGCTCCCAGCAGCAAAAGGGAAAATTGCAGAGGGCGTGGGAGACGCTAAGTATAGGGTGAGGAACACCTACCTGCCTACAAGAAGTAGTGTGGCAGGGAAGGAAAAAGGGGTGGAGGAAATTATTTTTTGTTGTTGTTTTCTAAAATTTTGACTTTGCCTAGGCATAAATCTCGGTAAAGCCTAGTTGGTGACATCAGTCATTACTGGAATCAGGCAGATCCTGGTTAAGATGTCACACTGTTTCTTCTGGCTTCATGTCTAACGAATTTACTTGAACGTAAAATCTGAAGCTCCCTCAATTCAGAGTTGTAGGGATTAGTTGAGAATGCAAACATATTAGTACAGGGTCACCCAATGCGTAAGTGCTTTATAAACGGTGACTTTAGCTGCTCAGTGGTTTTTTTCAAATTGAGGATAGTAGGAAATCTTAGGCAATCCCCTATAAATGTATGACCAATAGCCTTAAGAAAGGGAGAAAAAGCATAACTGTACTTTCTTCAGGGACTCAACCAAATAGAAAGGAACTCAGGGAAAAAAAAACAGCCTAGATAAATCAGGATAACCTAGAAAGTGTCCTTTAGAAGAGAAGATACAAATGAGCAAGACATAAATTAATCAGAAGTTTGATTTCCAAATTAGCTTAATTCCCAAGCTTTTCCCTATGACCAGTTTTTAATTAGACCAAATTACTAGATGATGGACTAGTTCAGTAGTGTTAAATCAGTCACACCATAAATAAAGTCTGCTTTGTCTGAAAGACTACACAATAGAAACCTGCAAGCAAGAGACAGAGAGAAAGATGAGAGGCAAGATCAATATCCATGCCCTTCACTCTTTCCCATTTGTTGCTTACTTTGCCACAACCTTTTACAAATTCAACCCTTGCCTTTTAACTAGTGACCTATTCATTTCTCTGTCCACTTTTCTCCCCAGGTTCTCAAAATTAAGAAATAAAATGTCCATAAAAAACTGGAAGTGGACTCTAGAAGAAAGAGGATGTGTGAATACTCTTGTTATTGTAGGAGATAGTTACCTACTGTGAATTTTAGCTGTTAGGAAAGTCAGTAAGTCCAAAGATACTGTTATCATTAAACTATTGTGAGCATCAAAAGGTGAAATTCTAATCATTATTGACTCATACTTAGGCTTTGTGTCAGGAAGAATATAACAAATGAAAATGCCAAAGAAGTTAGAGTTTCTTTATTAAAACAGTCTTCTTGGGTTCTAGTGCACATCCTAGTGGTAGTCCTTTGACCTTGAACATGCAATCAATTTACGTGTTCCTCCGTTTCCTCAACCACAATATGAAGAAGCTGCATTTGATGACTTCTAATGTCTCACAGACATTAGAGCTTAATGTCACAGAGCTTAAAAAAATCATTATTCTAAGATTGTTGTATTCAAGAAAATGCCCCAAACTGAACATGAGTATTATAGCATTTGTGATCAATACCCGGAAACAAATCTTGTATTGTTCTTGCTGATAACTACCAAAGCAATTAGAATTTATACAGTGAAATAGTCTATAGGTTTGCTATGCAGTATGTGGTCTCAGAGCAGCATCATCACCATTACCTGGGAACTTCTTAGAACTGCAGGATCTCAGGCCCTACCCAGTATCTACAGAATAAGATCTTTCATTATAACAAGATTCTAGAGTGATTTATGTGTACACCCTGAGAAGCACTAGTTTTTAACACAGATTTACTGAACACTGAACCTCAGGGAGCATTTCAGTGGGTGTTTTATGAAATGGAGGAGACTAAGAAGCCAAGAGGATTTTTGTTAAATTACTCTTTTCAGGAACCCCACAAGCCCTTGTTATCACAACAAAAAAAGTAACTCCTTTTGTAAACTATAGAACTAATCAATTAATTTAATTAGGTATATATTTTAAATATTTGCAAGTTTGATTGCGATGACAGTCAAAAACTTTTGTATGATTAAAAACTCTATAGCCTAACACCAGGGGACAGAAAGAAAGTTTGCACTCATTCCAGTCTTGAGGGGAAAGCACTAAAAATTTGAGCTCTAACTAGTTGGATAAATAATATCATCTTCAAAGACAAATAATAGGTAACTCCTTATTTTCTGAATAGTCTATTCATAGATGCTATTAGCCAATTAAAATTTTAAAATATCAATGGTTGTAAGAGCTTTCAATATTTTAAAGTGTGACCATAGTCAAAATGTTACAAAATTGTCATTGTGTGGGTAAAATTATTTCTAAAATGTAAAATATTTCTTAGAATGTAATTAAACATCTTTAAATATCTTTATTTTATAGTTTTAGGACGATTCTTCTCTACCTATCTTATTAGTATTTCTGTAAATCTACAAATTAATGGACTCCTTATGACTCATCAATCGATGAGTGTCAAGAATTGTTCAAAAATGGCATCTATCCATGTGTCTTTACATGCAACCATCTTAATATTAAACCTGGTTGGGAGATTATCTTTCCTTATCTTTAAGCCTCGTAGTCATCTTCACTCCATGGCAAATATTTTTTTTTTAACATTCAACTTCACATTTTCAAATACATTTTAAGAAATTAATGCTTTAAATGCAAGTCATTCATTTAATATTAACTGTTTTAAAAGTTAAGTTAAAATAGTGCACACTTTTTCCCTGCTTTGAATATAATGGTTCTCTTTGCTTGTGCTGTCACAAAATAGGGTGACAGCCTCCTCCTACTGCAATAGTGTCATAGGGATTAGACAGTTCTTTTAAGATAGATTTTACAGAGGAGGCTACACATAGTTTGTACTTATGACTGTTTTCATACCAGTTTGAGAGAATTAGGATTTATCAAGTTTGTGATGTTTATGCCTTTTTCATTCTACAAACAGCAAAGTAATTTGTCAACAGTTTTAAGGTGATACATGATAACAAAATAAGAGGGAATCTTTTCACAATGTACAACCATATCAAATCATCACAATGTACACTTTAAATACCTTTTCATTTAATCTGTCAATTATACATCTCATTAAAGATAAAAATAAAAAATTATGACAAAAAAGTTCAAAATGAGAATGGACAATTATTGAGTATAATCACTTTTACTCCTTTGGATGAATTTTCTGGGATATTACATGATTACTTAGAATGTTTATATTTTCCTTTTAAATGTTTAATTCAAGTGAAATATCTAAACATTTAAAATATACAGTCATTATAGATACCCAGGACTAAATATCTTAAAACCCATGCTAAATTGACTCTTATAGTAAATTGACTCTTGCAGTAAATTGACCTAGAAAAAGAAATTTCATGCCCTGGTGAAAATGTAGACCATTGTGGAATAAAATTAGCTTATTGAACATTGGAAGCATTGATTGTCATTTTACATGCTCACCAGCATTTTTTTAAATATGAAATCAGCTGCCTATGTTGCTATGATGTTAGGAATCCTTGGGTATAGCATTTAGTACATATAGTATAATTCACAGCATATAGTATTACTTATATATCTGCTATATACAGAGACTGGCAAAAGTAGGTTTATGGTTATTCATATGAAAATAATGCAAATAAATAGTAAATGAGTTAATAAATACATATCCATGACTGTAAACCTAAGTCTGCCCACCCCTGTATATGATAGCATATAAAAATATTAATTACTTTGAAATGCATGTTAACTTAGCATTTTTCTACTGTTTATAAAACATTCAAAGTCCTCCATCAGAATTATGACATTATTGCACTCCACTCCAAATTCCTTATTGCTAGAATTTAAAATTATATTAATGATAGTACATTCAAGTGGTGAAAAGGAATTCAGAAATTTACAACCTCAAGATAAGCTGTTTCTGCTTTTTTAACATAAAGGAACCAACTGGCAATAGTACCAGCACCTATATGTTCTCCCATTTGGAAAGATGCAATCACAATATATGGAATAAAACTGATGTTGTGCTGGTATGTAGTATAACTTGTATCTCTACAGTGATTGAGTCTAAATGATCTAAGATATGTGCCCATCACACACTTCTTAATTTCGGCAGAGCACAAATTCTTTTTCCTTCATTTCCCCTGAAACAAGAAAGCAGTCTATGGAAGATCATTTGACCCCAGTAATTAAGGCAGCTAATGTGTAAAATTGTAGTTTTGCAAATAAATGGAAATATCCTAGAGATAACTCTCAACTTTTGGACAATTGATGCGATCACTAGCCGGCAGGGACCTTGGAATGAAATGATGTGGATGGCTCGTCAACACATGAGAAACACCTACACAGAGACAACCAAGTCCTGTGGTATAGGGGAAGTAGGGGAAGTAGGAACGAAACAGCGACTCTCCCTGGTGGGAAGAGCACACCCCGTTCCCCTGCTGGAGAGGCTTTTTATTGGTTTTGTTTGCATAAGAATTCAGGTAAAGCTCATTACTCATTGCTATGAAGTAAGGATCAAACAATAGGTAACAAGGAAGT